AAATGAATACATTTTTTGGAAATTGGTTAAATTGCAGAATGTGCACTCTGCAGTCAAGAATAAGGGGTCAAATTTTCAAAGTGGAGCTGAGAAGTCCACACCCAGATATATTCTGGGCCCTAACCCTATGCCTTTGTTGTGTCTTTGACATGATGCTATTTTTAAATGTTAAGTCCCTGTGTTGATATGAGATGGGTTTAGTAATGCAAAGTGTCTCTTGGACAGGAGAGCTGCCTATTTGGCATGAGTGGAAAGCAGGCAGCAGTCATATTGGAGGCTGCTGATGCCATGCTGCTGACAGCAATAAGCTCCTCAAAGGACACATAGCATAACATTAAGTGAAAGTGCCCAGACGGCCACAATGAAGATAATGCACCTGTCCTAATTCAAGATCCCCCTTAAAAAACACTTCTCATAATACAAGCAAACTTTCAGAACTCCCCATCGTGAATTCAACAATTATGTAATAACATGCTCCAGACTGCTTATATTTCTGGAATCGAATTTTAAAATTGCAGCCCCAGCTTTGCTACCATATTAACAAGTTCCCAAAAGAAGCTAACTAAGTCTTTAATTGTAGGCAATTTAATTTTGAAATGTGGATTTCAAAATCAGTCAAACCCCAGGTTATAGAGTCCTTCCAGAACAATAACCTAAATCTGGATGATTGTCAGAAAACAGGTGAATATAAACCCCTCAGAGATAGTAGGAACTGCCGATGCTGGAGTCTGAGATAACAACGTGTAGAGCTGGATGAACACAGCAGGCCAGGCAGCATCAGAGGAGCAGGAAAGCTGATGTTTCGGGTCTGGACCCTTCTTCAGAAAAATATGAACTCCTGTGATGTTGAATGGAAAGATATTTACACTGTTCAGTTTATGCAAGGCAAATATGTAAGGTCATCACCTTTGTTTTCAGTTCAGAAGAATCTACAATGAAGCAAGTTCTTAAATTCAGTTCAGAAAATACCAGAGTTAAGCTCAGAAGCAAGTTTAGTTTCTCTCCTACGAAGGAATTCAGGCAGTTCAGAGAACAAATCACCTTGGTAGAAGGGTTTAGTAAAACTCCAAATCAGAAGGGTTTGGTTGGAAATCTGCAGTTTAGTAGAATTGAGGAAGTTTAGGTTGTCAGGCTTATGAAAAGTTCATGTCATTGAATTGTCCCCACACTCCATAGAAAAGGAAAGATGAGGAGCCAGCGAAGTAGAAATTTAAAGTGTTGAGATATAAGGTATCATTTCTCTGGACTTAAATTTCCATAATGGACAGTGGCAGAAGACAGGTTGAAACTAATGATTTGGTCTATGTTTTAAGATCTTTCTATTGGTCTTCTGTATTTCAAAGGTTTGTCTTTATTAAATCTTCTTTTATGAAATGAACTTCTATTCTTCCATTAAAAGAAAACTGGCAGCCTCATGTGAATATGTCTCAGTGACTATCCACCATGTGAGGTAACTAAAGAAAAACAAATCCAGCAAGCAATTTTTCAGTCTGGAACCCAACTCCTCCAGTAGTACTATCAGCTAAGATCATAATCCACCACCCCCGACAACACTTTGGAAACTGTAAGCTTTCTTAGAGATGTTAGGATCCTGCAAAGTCCTCCCAGGACAGAATTTTAAATCACATCAGCATCAGGTCCTGACTCCACTAGCATTTGGAAATTTAACCTAAGGTCTCCCATTTTCAAAAAAAATCAATTAAAAGATAATACACAAAGAAGCTATGTTGAAAAAGATAGGCTAGGGTCTTCTTTTATTAGACTCAATATTTTGAATACCTTGGTTTTGATAAATCCATCTTGGTAGAACCAGATTTGGTCATCCATTCCTGTGCTTTCTAACGCTTGCACGCGTACCATGTGGATTTCATTCAAGTCTCCGTCAAACGTCATGAATGTTCCAGTAGCTCTGTTTCGTATCCGAAAATACACTCGACTCTGTAAACAAGACAGAATTGGTAAATGTCACGTAGTTTTCTATTGTGTTTTTTTATTGTTCTAGATTATTGCAAGTTTAAGCCATGGCTTTTCCACACATGCAGTATAAACTTGGACTTTGTTTTTCCAGATTTGTGAAAATAAACAGTTACATTTGTCATACAATCCCAAATTGTGCCAGAACTAACCGAGGAGGAAGCAAATGAGTGTTCTATCTTTCCACAATTCACATAAATGTCTTCTTTAAAAAAAATGAGTTAAAAAGTATAATATTTTAAAGCAGTATTGTAATAACATTAGAAACTAAACTAACAATGCCGAATTGCTTGTTTAAACTCCAGTAACGTGCGCCTTGATGTAATTGTGAAATTCCCTTTCCTTGTTTAGATAATTCCTAATTTTTTTACTTTCCTGCCATTGCTAGATGCCCAGTGAAGATTGGTTACTTCTTCAAAAGGGAGAAAGAAAAAAAATTGGGCATATTTATAGGAACATAAGAAATAAGGGCCACAATAGGCTATTTGGGTCCATTAAGCCTACTATCTCAGTCAATCAGATTATGGCTGATCATCTGCCTCTCGCACCATTTTCGTCTTGCACCATTTGCCCCATATTCCTTGTTACCATTTGTAAAGTGAAATCTATTGATTTTGACTTGAACATGCTCAATGTCAGAGCTTCCAAAGCCCTCTGGTGTAATGAATTTCAAAGTCTCGCCACTCAGAATAAAGAAAATCTTTCTCACCTCGATCTTAAGAGGCCTGTCCCTTCCTCTGAGATAATCACCCTAAATCTAGACTCACCAACCAAGGGGACCATCAACATGACCCTTAAGTTGCATGGTTGCGTGCACAGTCACTCCAATGATCTCCGCAAATAAGGTGCAGAGGTTGCATGGTTGCGTGCGCAGTCACTCCAATGATCTCCGCAAATAAGGTGCAGAGGTTGCTCTGCATGCAGGCCTCAGAGGGCTGCATAGGCAGTATGAAAATTACATGAAATGCTAAGAACCATCCAAACCATATCTACCCAAACAATTATACAGCAGCTGGTGCCAGAGAGGGGCCAGCAGAATTCATTATGCATCATGTTTGAAAACGCAAAATAAGTAAACAAATATATTGCCAAAAAACTTCAAAAACAATCCAATATGGAAAACAAATAGAAACAAAGTCAGAAATTTGTAGTGAAACCTTAAAAGCTAGAAATATACTGCTGGTTCAACAACATCTGAAGAACAAAGGAGAATATCTTGTCAAAAATTTTGAACATCTTGAGAGCACATCTTGAGAGAATCTCTCATATATTGAACGAATATTTTGAAAACCTAATTTCTTTTCTCCCATCTTTTCAAAAATAATTGCAGATGCAGATAATGTTTAAACATTGAAGGAAATATGGAATTTATTTGATTTTTACTTTTATAACGATTAACTTTTATGAACTATCAATCAATTTAGTATTTCACAAATAGGTGTAACTGGCATTTTTGATTAAGTGAACAACCTGAAAGATATCTCAGAGATATTAACAACAGATTCGGACTTTAAATTTCACATAGTGGAATTCTCTACCTAAACACATACAGACCTGAGGCAAAGGGCGTAGAGAACCAATCCTGTGCCATCCAGTGTGCTGACGCCAGTTAGATATCTGACAGGGCTGTAGCAAAATTTGACGTCCTTGATAGTTGCCGCATTCATAAGCCACCCATCTGTTTTGCAGAATAAATCAAGAAATATTTTAAACATTTCAGCAGTAATCTTTAAGCACAAAATAGCTTTACAATGGTGCTTACAGTGAACAGATGGGACTTAAACCCAATACATTAAAAATTGCTTCAGCTGGCACAACGGGGATGGTCGTGATGCCACCAGGAATGGGCCTCTCTGGTCAGAAGTTTAATATTGTAGGAAATGGACTGAATTGGATGGCCATAGTCACAATTTGAGCTCCCCATTATGTTTCACTTGTGGAGCAAGTGGCCACATCTTCCCTGAGCTGTCATTAAGCAGTTGAGGGTTGTCCAGATATTCTGTGCAACTTGGGACTTCTAACACCTGGGTTAGTTACCAGCTTATGGCCAGTAATGTAATCAAACAGATGTGCCAAACAGGGACTGTTTCTGTTTGTAGGGTGTGCACTGTGTTTGAATAGAGGCCATAAGATATCAGATGAACGTGTGGGTTTTTCTGTGTCAATTGAAGTGCTTCATTACCCGTCAGCTGAAAATGTTCTTTGATGAAAGGTGTTCCTCTATGCAAATAAGGAGGTTCAATATGTGCCAGCACAGTAAATCATGAATTAAACTATGGAGAGCCATGACTTTGTGGGAGGGAGACCAAAGTACATATGTTGCAGAAATCGGGTGTAACGTCTGAGTGCTGTGGGAACCGATATTGATTATGTGTGGACAGGTGATCTGATCTCCAAGGTCCATTTAGATCTATTGGTCACAGAGTTGGAATTGGCTTGATATAGTGTTTTCAGTTAACAGATGTTTTTGGAAAGTTTCAGCTGAATGCCGAAATGCCACATTGAGTCATAGGCATAGGATAAGAAACAAAAGCAATTTCTGTCTTAAGGCAATTTTGCCAACTGGCTTCAATATGTGAGGTCAGAATCAGGACCTCATTGAAGCAGTTGCAGACTGTACAAAAATCTGCCTATTATTGGTGTGTCAGGGTAAGATCATTTCTTCTGGACTCAGCCTGGTTATTTTACTTTAATAATTGGATGTAGGTGTTGCTGACTAGGCCAGCATTATTGTCCATTCCTATTTGCCTGGAGAACAACAACATTGCTTGTGGGTCTGAAGTCACGTGTCAGCCAGACCAGGTAAGGACGGTAGATCTCCTTCCCTAAACAATATTAGTGAACCAGATGAGTTTTTATACAACAATTTAAAAATCTGTTGTTGAGGTACCCTCACATATGATATTGGCTGTTGGAGATATAAGTTGTTGCGCATATTACAGGATGTATTACAATGTTAGGACCCGACATTTGGTGGCTTCTGTACATTTGTAATAGTCAGCAAAACACTAATGCACAAAATTCTTACATTGCAATCAAAACCACAGAAAAAAAATAAGCAAAGATACTTCGAGGAGTTGAACTGAAATTTGATGTAATTATTCCTAATCCAGCAAGACCAACAAATATAGCTTGGTACCACAATGTTGGGTCAATGGGAGCTAAACGTTGAACCAGTTAAACTGAGGTTTTTGCCAAACTGTTTCACATCAAAACCATCCCAGCCAATTGGAAGTCAGACCACTTTTGCTTTGCAAACTCAAAGAAAGTTCATAGAGATGGAAATTAAGATTCCCTACATTACAACAGTGCTTATATTTCAAACAAATGTGAAGCATGTTAAGATGCCTGAGAGCTCAAAAGGTGCAATACTTTTCTTTCTTCTCTTAAAACAAAATATTGAGTATTGAGTAAAAGCAATTACACATATATTTCCTCATAAGCTAAAATAAAACAAAGAATTATGGACACTGGAAATATGAAACAAAAACAGAAATTGAAGGACAAACTGAGTAAGGCTTGCAGCATCTGTTCTGAAGAAGGATCCATGGACATGAATGTTAATTCTGCTTTCTCTCTACAGATGCTGGCAGGGCTCGTGAGTCTCTGCAACATTCTCTGTTTTTGTCTACTCAGTCTCTTGTCTTCCGGATTTTGGAGGAAACTGGAGAAATCCCTTCAGTTAGTTGGTACAGTGTGAGCAAAGCTACAGCTTTAAATTTTGCCAAATGGTTTGGGGGGCCACTATGTGCATAGGTTTACCTATATCCTGGCTCTTTTATATAATGCACCAACCTCTGCTCTTCAACGCAGGCTTTAATACCACTCTCTCCATTTATTAATGCTCAACATGTTTCAAACAAAAACAAAATAATTAATATTTATAAAGCGTATTTGCTAATTTTGGGAAATTTCACTCAATTGCTTCTTTTTTAAAGTGAACCCTAATTAGAATATGGAAGGTAAGGAGTTAAATACAATTTGGTAATAACAAATATGCAATAGCCAGGTCTACAGTCTCCCAACACACGTACAGATCTTTTTTAAGAGAGTATCCTGTGTATTAAATGATTTAGGACAAATATGTACTTACATGCCACCATTAACTTTGACAGAAAAGATATGATTATTGTATCCTTGCAAAGCCAGATTCCGCATTTCTGAAACCAATTCAATTTTCTTTCCTTGAAATTTCTCCCTTGCAAACAGAATTATTGCTGGAATAGAAAAGCACTATCAAAACAAAAAACAAAAGTGTCAATTCTTTTTGATAGAGAGAATGAGGAGAGGCAATATGCACTAAAGGGTATAATTTATAAGGGACGCAGACAGACCTAGGGTGTCTGTACACAACTCTCTGCTGGTAACAGGACAAGCTGAAAGTATGTTGAAAAGATGAGGGGCCTGTAGCGTTATAAATAGAGATATAGGGCATAAAATCAAGGAAGATATGCTAATTCTTTTTAAGACACTGGTTAAGTTGCCTCTCAAGTATTGTAGCCAACTTTGGGCAAAATACTGTAAAGAAGGATGTCAAGCTATTAGAGAGGATGCAATGAAGATTTACTGGAACAGTACCATGGAAAGAAGATTTCAGCTACAGAAAAAGACCAGACAAACTGGGATAATCCCTTACAGCAGAGAGGATAAGGGGAAATCTAACATGGGTGCTCAAAGACATTAAGGATTTTGATACAGCAAGTAAAAAGAACATCTTTCAAGTGACAGAAAGGTCATTACCTAGAGGACACAGATTTAAGATAACTCGCAAAGAACAAGAGGTGACATGATGAGATGAAAGAAATTACACAGCAAGCTGTTATTATCTGACATGCACTCTCTAAAAGGGTGGTGGATACCCAACTGATAATAGTTTTTAAAAAGCATAAATCTCAAAGTGAAGACATTGTCAGAGCAATGTGCAAGGCTGTAGGATTAATAGGATCTCCCTTTCAAAGTAGTAGCAGAAGCACAATGAGTCAAATGGACTATTTCTGTTCATTCTCACTTCATCAAAGATGCTGCAATCTTGTTCTTGGGAATTTTAAATACAAAATTAGGAGATAAAGATTGTGTGTAATAGCAATGTCATTTAATAACTACTTGGTGTTAAGGTGTTAATCGAAACACTTGCAAGCCATTTTCGTTCAGGGATGGGCCTGGTGCTCAAGCAATTGAGAGGTAGGGATCTCCAACAGAAAAATGGAATTCACACAGTTCCAATTAATCTTTCCACACTTATTGAAGATTCAAGTTTTCATGCTAATACTGGTTGTTTAGAGAAGAGCACAACTGCACAGCTGGCATACATACTTTGTAAAAGAGAGAAAAAAAAAAAAGAGTCTTGTTTCAGGGCAGGAAGGCTGACATTTTGGGCCTGGACCCTTCTTCAGAAATGGGGGAGGGGAAGGGGGTTCTGAAATAAATAGGGAGAGAGGGGGAGGTGGATAGAAGATGGATAGAGGAGAAGATAGGAGGTCAAAGATGCGGGGATGGAGCCAGGAAAGGTGAGTGTAGGTGGGGAGGTAGGTAGGAGATAGGTCAGTCCGGGGAGGACGGACAGGTCAAGGGGGTGGGATGAGATTGGTAGGTAGGAGATGGGGGTGGGGCTTGAGGTGGAAGGAGGGGATAGGTGGGAGGAAGAACAGGTTAGGGAGATGGGGACGAGCTGGGCTGGTTTTGGGAAGCGGTAGGGGGAGGGGAGATTTTGAAGCTTGTGAAATCCACATTGATACCATTGGGCTGCAGGGTTCCCAAGCGGAATATGAGTTGCTGTTCCTGCAACCTTCGGGTGGCACCGTTGTGGCACTGCAGGAGGCCAGGATGGACATGTCGTCTGAGGAATGGGAGGGGGAGTTGAAATGGTTCGCGAATGGGAGGTGCAGTTGTTTATTGCGAACTGAGCGTAGGTGTTCTGCAAAGCGGTCCCCAAGCCTCCATTTGGTTTCCCCGATGTAAAGGAGGCCACAAAGGGAACAGCGGATGCAGTATACCACATTAGCAGATGTGCAGGTGAACTTCTGCTCATTCCCCATACAGAGGGCCCGACCAGTCCCCCTCCACTGACACCCTCATCTGCTTAGCCGAACTCGTCCTCACCCTCAACAACTTCTCTTTCAATTCCTCCCACTTCCTACAAAGGGGGTGGCCATGGGTACCCGCATGGGCCCAAGCTATGCCTGCCTCTTTGTAGGTTATGTGGAACAATCCCTCTTCCGTACCTACACTGGCCCTAAACCCCACCTCTTCCTCTGTTACATTGATGACTGTATCGGCGCCGCCTTGTGTCCCACGAGGAGCTCGAACAGTTCACCTACTTTACCAACACCTTCCACCCCAACCTTAAGTTCACCTGGACCATCTCTAATACCTCTCTCACCTTCCTGGACCTCTCTGTCTCCATCTCTGGCAACCACCTAGAAACCGATATCCATTTCAAACCCACCGACTCCCACAGCTACCTAGAATACACCTCCTCCCACCCACCTTCCTGCAAAATGCCATCCCCTATTCTCAATTCCTTCACCACCACCGCATCTGCTCCCAGGATGAGGCATTCTACTCCCGTACATCTCAGATGTCCTTGTTTTTCAAGGACTGCAACTTCCCCCCCTCAGTGGTCAAGAACGCCCTCGACCGTGTCTCCCGCATTTCTCGCAAGTCATCCCTCACACCCCCTCCCCGCAATAACAACCAAAAAAGAATCCCCCTCGTCCTCACGTACCACCCCACCAACCTCCGGATCCAACGCATCATCCTCTGACACTTCCGCCATCTGCAATCCGACCCCACCACCAAAGACATCTTTCCCTCCCCACCCTTATCTGCTTTCCGGAGGGGTCACTCTCTCCGTGACTCCCTTGTCCGCTCCACACTCCCCTCCAGCCCCACCACACCTGGCACTTTTCCCTGCAACCGCAGGAAGTGCTACACCTGCCCCTACACCTCCCCCCTCACCACCATCCCAGGCCCCAAGAAGACTTTCCACATCAAACAGAAGTTCACCTGCACATCTGCTAACGTGGTATACTGCATCCGCTGTTCCCGTTGTGGCCTCCTTTACATCGGGGAAACCAAGCAGAGGCTTGGGGACCGCTTTGCAGAACACCTACGCTCGGTTCGCACTAAACAACTGCACCTCCCAGTCGCGAACCATTTCAACTCCCCCTCCCATTCCTCAGACGACATGTCCATCCTGGGCCTCCTGCAGTGCCACAACGATGCCACCCGAAGTTGCAGGAACAGCAACTCATATTCCGCTTGGGAACCCTGCAGCCCAATGGTATCAATGTGGATTTCACAAGCTTCAAAATCTCCCCTCCCCCTACCGTATCCCAAAACCAACCCAGCTTGTCCCAGCCTCCCTAACCTGTCCTACCTCCCACCTATGCCCTCCTTCCACCTCAAGCACCACCCCCATCTCCTACCTGCTAACCTCATCCCACCCCCTTGACCTGTCCGTGCTCCCCAGACTGACCTATCTCCTCCCTATCTCCCCACTTACACTCACCTTTACTGGCTCCATCCCCGCCTCTTTGACCTGTCTGTCTCCTCTCCACCTATCTTCTCCTCTATCCATCTTCTATCCGCCTCCCCCTCTCTCCCTATTTATTTCAGAACCCCCTTCCGCTCTCCCATTTCTGAAGAAGGGTCTGGGCCCGAAACGTCAGCTTTCCTGCTCCTCTGATGCTGCTTGGCCTGCTGTGTTCATCCAGCTCTACACCTTGTTATCTCAGATTCTCCAGGATCTGCAGTTCCTACTATCTCTTGTTTGAGGGCTTCCTTTTAGTAATCTTTGGGTTGAATTACAAAGGACAACATTAGGATTGGATGCTGTGACTTCATGCTGATGCTATCAGTCATGCATCTTCTACTTAAAAGGGAAATTGCTTGCTGATTTGTTTTAGGACACATCAATGATATCAGATGTCATTGTCATGAAAACTAAAATATCTAAATATCTAAAAGATACTTACAAAATCTACTCTCTTCACAGATTTTATACAGTCACCCTTTGTACATCCCATCATGATCAAATCAGGATAGGTTTCCTCCTCGAGTACATATTGGTTACCAGTGAAATTCTCTGCGTCATAAGCCACCCAGCTGCAAAGGGAAAAATACAATGACTCACAGTTTCTGAGTGTGTATCTTCCTGTTTCTTTTCCTATTCTCAACAGATGGTCTCCTCATTTAAAAAAAAAATATAATTGCACAAATTATTATTTCTCCTTTTTTATCCAATTTTCACCTACAACGACATTGCTAATTTAGAATTAATCTAGTGATATCAGTCCATGTCTGTTAGTAATCAGGTTCAAACACTCATTTGAAAAGAATCTTAAGGTCTAAGAATTCCCAGATACATTAACTGTAAGCAAATTGATATTCTTAAAGTGAAAGCTTAAACTTACACATATACCTTTTATTATAATTCTAATCATGAGGTACTCTCAGCAAACTACTGAAGATGTAGTGTACGAGGATCCATAAAGGAAGCAAAACAAATACAGTTTTCAACAAACCATCTTGCATGCAAAGGGTCTCAACAGAGAAGCATTTCACAGCAGCAATATGCTCAGATGGGATTTGTATTCTTTTATAGTCAACGGGGTTTTCTCACACAGAGACAATGCAATATGCACTGTACTTTGAAACTTTAACAGAGCTAATTTTCCATCAAAATTCAAGGCAGTTCCTTTGGAGGAACATTTTAACACGTTTTAATAGTTCTTCTGGAGGAATGATTAGCTGTTTATAGTGTTAAATGTTGTGAAAACAATTATATAGATTAATTCAGTTAAAATAGTTAAAATTGTGCTTCAAACCAATTTATCATGAGTTGCTTAAGTCGATGCATGTCTGAAGTTAATTTTCATCACCTGCCAGATTGAACTTTGCAGGACTTGGGTGAGAAACCATCTGGAAATTGGGCTATGTCCATGTCAAAAATCTGTGCATTCCCTTGAAATTCAGGCTCCGAAAAAAATTGCACCTGCAAGTCAAGAGTTTTATCGATAATAAATGGCACACAGAATGCTATGCAAAAATAACCATAATGCTAATATAGAATACATCCTAATTTAATACTTTTTCATGAAACAACATACCCATTCCTTTATTTATGTCAAACAGTGTGTAACATTTGATTCTGATTGTACTTCAGACTGTCCAGTTTTTAAGATTGCAATGACAGGAAAACTATTAATCTTCATTAGTCTGAAAACTGACAGGATTTTCCAACTTCCACACACGGGCATTTCAGTGACGGAATCCAGAGACAGGTGTCGTAGAATCATAGAAACACCACAATTTGGAAGCAGGCCATTTGGCCCAACAAGTCAACACTGACCCTCCAAAAAGCATTCCCACCTAGACCCACCCCCATCACTGCATTTCCCACAGTTTAACCCACTTACCCTGCACATCTCTGGATACTATGGCCAATTTAGCACAGCCAATCAACCTCGCCTGTACATCTTTGGACTGTAGGAGAAAACCAGAGCACCCAGTGGAATCCCACACAGACATGGGGAGAATGTGCAAACTCCACATGGAGTGTCATCTGTAGTTGCAATTGAACTCAGCTCCCTAGTGCTGTGAGGCAGCATTGCTAACCACTGAACCATGGGGCCCTGTCAGGAGTGACTAAATTGAAACTAAATTGAAGCTCCTGGGGGAGCTTGAATTTGGAAAGGATGTGTCCTCTTGTGTAAGAATCTGAAACTAAGTTTAAACATAATTTAAAAATGAAGGATCGCCAAATTAAGACAGAAATGAGGATCTGTTTCACTCTGAGACAGTTGAGACTCTTTGGAATTCCCTTTCCCAAAAGGCAATAATGCAGAATCTTTAAATATTTTCATGGCAGAGGTAGATAGTGTCTTGATTACCAAGGGGATGAAATATCATCAGTGATATACAAGACTGTAGAGTTAAAATCAGATCAGCTGTAGAAACACAGAAATATAGAAAATAGGAACAGGAGTAAGCCATTCAATATGATCATGGCTGATTATCCAACTCAGTACCCTATCCAGCATTCGCCCCATACACTTTGATCCCTTTAGCCATAAGAACTACATCTATCTCCATCTTGAAAACATTCAATGTTTTGGCTTCAACCGCATCCTGTGCCAGAGAATTCCATAGATTCACCATCCTCTGAGTGAAGAAACTCCTCCTCATCTTAGCCCTAAATGGCCTACATGTTACCCTCAGACTGGGAGCCCTGGTTCTGGACGCCCTGGTCATCAGGAAGATCCTTCCTGCATTTACCTCTGTAGAGCTGTTAGAATTTCATAGTTTTCTATGAGATCACCCCTCATTTTTCTAAACGCTAGTGAATATAGTCCTAACCGATCTATTGACTCTATTCATGCCATGGTTCTCAAGAGAGGTCGATCGACTGGTTAAGAGGAAGAACGAGGCTTATGTAAGGTTTAGGAAAAGAGGAACGGAAAAGGCTCTAGAGGGATACAAGTTAGCCAGGAAGGAGCTGAAGAAAGTGCTTAGGAGAGCTATAAGGGGGCATGAGAAAACCTTGGCGGATTGGATCAAGGAAAACTCCAAGGCTTTTTACACGTATGTGCAGAACAAGAGAATGACCAGAGAAAGGGTAGCGCCGATCAAGGATTGTAAAGGGAATTTGTGCAGAGAGCCTAAAGAGATAGGAGAGGTCCTTAATGAATACTTTTCTTCAGTATTCACAACTGAGAGGGACCTCGTTGTAGAGGAGGGTGTTGTGAAACAGGCAGGTAGGCTAGAGGAGGTTGATATTAGTAAAGAAGATGTGCTAGGAATTCTGAGGAAGTTGAAGATAGATAAGCCCCCGAGGCCTGATGGGATTTATCCAAGGATTCTGTGGGAAGCGAGGGACGAGAACGCAGGGCCTTTGGCGATGATCTTTTCGTCCTCACTGTCCACGGGTACAGTGCCGGAAGATTGGAAAGAGGCAAACGTCATTCCCTTGTTCAAAAAAGGGAACAGGGATAACCCCGGAAATTACAGGCCAGTTAGTCTTACGTCAGTGGTGGGCAAATTATTGGAAAGGGCTCTGAGAGACAGGATTTATGATCACTTGGAAAGACACAGTTTGATTCGTGATAGTCAGCATGGATTTGTAAGGGGTAGATCATGCCTCACAAACCTTATTGAATTCTTTGAAGAGGTGACCAAACACGTGGATGAAGGTGGAGCAGTGGATGTGGTATACATGGATTTAAGTAAGGCGTTTGATAAGGTTCCCCATGGTAGGCTCATGCAGAAGGTAAGGAGGCATGGGATGGGGGGAAATGTGGCAGATTGGATTCAGAATTGGCTGACCCTTGGAAGACAAAGGGTGGTGGTGGCCGGAAAATATTCAACATGGTGCTCAGTTACGAGTGGTGTACCACAAAGATCTGTTCTGGGTCCTCTTCTATTTGTGATTTTTGTAAATGATTTGGATGAAGGAGTGGAAGGGTGGATTAGCAAGTTGGCGGACGATACGAAGGTGGGTCACGTTGTGGACAGTGCAGAGGGCTGTTCTAGGTTACAAAGGGACATTGATAGAATGCAGAGCTGGGCTGAGAATTGGCAGATGGAGTTTAACCCTGAAAAGTGTGAGGTGATTCATTTTGGAAGGACAAACTTGAAAGCAGTATACAGGGTTAACAGAAAGATTTTTGGCAGTGTGGAGGAGCAGAGGGATCTTGGGGTTCATGTTCACAGTTCCCTGAGATCTGCTACCCAGGTGGATAGAGTTGTTAAGAAGGTGTATGGTGTGTTAGCTTTGATTAATAGAGGGATTGAGTTCAAGAGCCGTGAAGTTATGCTCCAGCTATACAAAAGCCTGGTTCAGCCACATCTGGAGTATTGGGTCCAGTTCTGGTCGCCTCACTACAGAAAAGATGTGGAAGTGTTGGAAAAGGTGCAGAGGAGATTTATCAGGATGTTGCCTGGAACGGAGGGAAGGTCTTACGAGGAAAGGTTGAGAGAGCTAGGGCTTTTCTCTTTAGAACGACGAAGGATGAGAGGTGACTTGATAGAGGTGTACAAAATGATCAGAGGTATAGATAGAGTAGACAGCCAGAGACTTTTTCCTAGGGTGGAGGTAGCTTTTACGAGGGGACATAGTTTTAAAGTGAAAGGAGGTAGATATCGGGGAGATGTCAGAGGTAGGTTCTTTACTCAGAGAGTGGTAGGGGCGTGTATGCATTGCCGGAGAGGGTAGTGGAGTCGGCCTCGTTAGGGGCATTTAAGTGGCTATTAGATTGGCATATGTATGATAGTATAAAGTAGCAGTGGAGATTAGATAGACCTTAGGTTTAGGGTAAAAGTTCTGCACAACATCGTGGGCCAAAGGGCCTGTACTGTGCTGTACTGTTCTATGTTCTATGTTCTACTTATATGTCAGTCCTGCCAGCCCAGGAATCGGACTGGTTATGACCTGATTAAATGGTGGAGCAGATGTGAAGGGTTGAATGGGCCACTTTTGGTCCTTGATCTCTTCCACAGGGCACATTGCCAGATTTTTTAATGATGTTAGTCATCTAGAATCACTGAAATGACATGAACTTGCACCTATAGACACTTATTTACAGTAAAAATTTGCAAAAGTGATGCTTTGTTAAAGAAGATGTCAGCTTTTTCAGTTTCATGTAAAAGTTCCACGGACGTTTGGATTAAAAAAAAAAGAAAAAAATTGCGCTTGTCCCTTATTTCTGCATGTACGTCCCTAACTTTATTTTTCCTGTAAAATTCTGAACAGCATGAAAAATGGAGTGATTAGCCATAGTGCCAAAGTGGCCTAGCCAATGGTGCACAGTGATGTCAGCATCAGTTCAAATGCCACTAACAAGGGGTCTGGGAGGCTGAGGGCAAGGGGCAGACAGAGGCAAAGGCTGCTTCTGATGAAGTGAAGCTTCCCTTCCCTGATGAGTGCAGGGACAAAGACCAGTGCCAGGAATAAGAGCGAGGGGAAGCATGCACAGGGTGTGGGGTGCAGTTGGGGAGAGACGCAAAGGGCCAGCCAGGCTCTGTTTTGTTTGATAGCAAGGAGGATGACATGGAATGAACTACATTAGTTTTCAGAAACAAGTTCTAAATTTCTGAGGAACTTTTATAAACTGGCACTTCTTGCAGAGCGCTCTTTGAGACTGCCTGCTGCTTTCTGTCATTTACCAATGACGTTGGCTTTCTGTTTGCACTTGCGTGCTCCTTGCAACACCTACAAGTTGTGTTTATACGAGTCACAGCCTATGATAAAATATGTTTGCTACTTCCTGGTTTGGTGTCAGAGGGATTTTGTTTTGACGTGTTTGGTTGTTCAGCCTGCTTGATGATATCACTATTGCTCAACATGCAGAGATTCCTTATGGCTGGTGCCAAAATGACATTAATGTTTGGAAAGGTTCTGCTGCCCAAAATGTCTGCATCAATGTTGTAACAATTTTCGTTGCTTTAAACCGCAGGTTGTGATAAATCACTCTAACCATACTTGGGCAAATCTTGTTCATAGCTTAACCACTCCTCCTAAATGCTCACCAAATATTACAAAAGTAAATAAAAACATTGAACTTTGCATCATACCTTGAACTTAGAAAGTTCACTGTCCTCAATATCCTGTAAAAAATAAGATTAAGGTTTATTGTTATTCATTAACAAATGCTTAAAAAAAAGGCTTAGCTATAATTAATGGCTATAAAGCGTCTCTCCGTCCTCCCGCTTTCTTCCCCACTCCTCTCCAAAACAGCTACTTTGCCTTATGTTCTGGAAAGAACTCATTAGTTGGAAGATGGCATTTATTGGCAATAAAACTGCTAAGTGGGTGCAATGATCTAAAGTCCATTTTACCTGTCTTAATTAAATCATCCAGAAATAGCTTAATCATCATTCTTAAATTATTCATGACTCCACAACTGTTTTGATGACTCTGTGGGAAGAACAACTTACTGAGATCAGCCAGAAATGGATCATGATTGGATTTCCATCGCAGCTTCTTTGCTCATCTGTCACATTCTTGTTTCTGTCTGTCTGTCTTTTGTCTCATACTCATTTTCATGGTTGAGCTATGGACATGGAATCATAGAATTTTACAGCACAAAAGGAGGCCATTCGACACACTGTGCTTGTACTGGCCCTCAAAAGAGCTACCAAGCTAGTCACATTCTCCAGCTCTATCTCAGTAGCCCTCCAAATTCATCATTTTCAAACATTTATCCAGCTGTCTTTTGAAACGTCCCATGGAATCCACTCCACAACTCTCCCACGCAGCACATTCCAAATCCCAACAACTATGAGTGAAAAAGTTTCTCCTTATTTCACTCTTGGCTCTGTTGTTAACGATCTTGAAATTGTGACCCCGAGTTGCTGACATGCCAACTAATGGAAACAGAATACCTTTCTTTATCTCGTTAAGATTGTTCAGAATTTTGAATATCTCAATAAAGTCACCTCTTAATCTTCTCTGCTCCAAGGAAAATAAGCCCAATTTCTCTAATCTTTCTCTATCTAAAATCCCTCATTCCTGGTGTCACTCAAGTAAATCTCCTTGGCATTCTTTGACACCCTTCCATAAATAGGGTGCCCAGGACTGAACACAATACTCCAAATTTGGTGTGACCAATAATTTGTAGAGATGTAGCAACACTTCCTTGCTTTTATACTCTATGCATCTACTTATAAACCCAAGGATTCTATAAGCCTTCTTAACAGTGGTTTCAACTTGCCTAGCCAGAGATAAAAGGAAGATAATTTATTTCTAAAAGGAAGTGCACACAATTGTAACATTTTTATAATGTGATTGACTTTTATAAGAGTATATTACCACACAATAAAATTTGCTAGTATTATTATGTTATGTAGTTGGGAGATAGATGCCACTTCAGCAGAAAGTTACACAATATATTTCAGTATGTTGTAGAATTACCAGATAGCTTGTCTCAAAGGTAAAAGTCAAATCAAACATGATCAATATGATCTGCAAACATGTTTTGGGAAAGAGAGGTGGAGGAACCTATTTGTTTTTTCTACAGTTTTTCCTTCCCTTCCATTCCAAGCAGTTGTTCTAAAATTTTCAATGTTAAGATGATTTAAAAATTTAACATGTTACAAGTGTCTTACCTTTTACCTTGTAATAGGCTTTTACATTACTGGAAATTTTTGAAACATCAGCCTCAAATTAATAAATTGCCTCTTAAATTATTGAATCCATTTTAAACATACAAAGTGGTAAATTTAATCACCTACCAAGAGAACAGGTTGAACAGAGGAGATTTTCGAACTTATCGCGCCCCAGTCTTCCAAGCTACTGTAAAGTCCTTTCTCCAGAACATACTGTTCACCTGTGTAGTCAGTATTCTCATACGCAACCCAGCTACAAATCAAGGTGAGAAGACAATTGTTATACTTACTTGTGTCAGCATATTTAACCAATCCATAATGGAGCTGTTCAATTTTAGAACTCTTGAGATTCCAAAACTTAGCAACCACACCATTGAAAAGAAAGTGAATTTCAACAAGTCCTCACTTAAGTTTTCTGACCAGAATATTTAGCTGCATGGAATGTTATTAATAATGGCCTTTCAATCTATCAAGTACCTCTTGATATTTTTCAAGAGTCTTGATCCACTCTCAATTTACTTTCATTCCTTTTAATATTGCCCTTTTACTCTAATCATTTCTCCAATTTCCTCTTATAAAGAACTTATGCACTTGGATTCAACTATGTGTTTGTGGCAGAAAATTCCACATTCCCACCACACTGTACAAAGAAAGCTTTCCTTTAAATCCACATTGCTCCTTCAATTATTTTAAATTGTTATCTGATTAGTAAGTATCTGATCAGTTCATACCCACTGACCAGTGGAGGTAATCTCAGTATTTGTGTCAACACACCCCTTCAATATTTCGACCGCTTTCTCAATGATCATGTTTGCTGATGTCTCCATGTATAATGATTCCAAGCTTACAATTGCAGATAGAATTTGTGTTTTTTTTATAAGGCTTAGTTGGGGATATGGAAGTCAAAATACAAACGAATAATGATCTTAAATGAATGGTGTAGCAGGCTTAAGGGGCTGAATGACTTACTTCTGCTCCTATTTCGTATGTTTGTAAGCACTGCAAGGCAAAACTAGGCGATCTCATTAGGAAAGGAAAACTGCCATCTTTAACTGACCTAACTCTTATGACTCTAGGTTAACATCAATATAATAGACTTTCTATCTCTTTGTGAAATATCGCAATTAGCCACTCAATTCAGGAAACTAACTGCTGTTATCTTTTCAACGCAAGTAGGAATTTGCAGTCCGTTTTAGCCTTGATAGAAACATTCGCATCCCAAGAATTAATTTTTAAAAATATGAAGGAACAGTTGGCAACCAAGATCCACCACTCTCCATTTCAGAGAGACCTGATCTGCCACTGGATCCAACCATTAGGCCTGTCAGGAACTGGTTAAGTTTATAGTCAAGTTTGTGGGCTATCTTACTAGATATTTTCTAATCAACCAGTTCAGAGACAGTATTACACGTATCTGGAGCAGATGGAGCTTGAACTCTGGACTCTTGGTCCAGAGGTAAAGGTAAAGTCACACAGTCCCACAGGCTACCTCTCATTAGAGAGAGATGACTGGTGGAAGAGAACACTACCACTGTACCACAAGATCCCTAAAGGCAATCTTGCTAGATATTTTCTCATCAACCTGTTCAGAGAGGTTATTAGACAAACAGTGCTTTTGACTGCAGATACCTGATACTCTCACTGTATACAGCACTCTAGTAGAAATTACCCTACTTCCCATGCAAGTCACCATTAATCTTCACTTTAAAGCTAAGTGGTCGACCTCATTTCTCTGCTTTTCATGATCTGGAATTACAGGCTAGTTGCCCTATTGGTTAGTCAACATGGAGAAAACAAATTTAAGCAGATGTGGACTTCTATTTTAACGCCATTCAGCTTTATCAACTAACTACATCAGAGTGTGAATTACTGGCAAGACTGGGGTCCATCTCAGGACTGTAAATCCAATTTATTTGTGGTGGGTGACACTGGCAGTGGCTCATTTACTAATCATTCCAGGTTTTCCTGAGAAGCAGTGTGCCTCTTTATTGAACTACTGTAGCCTTATAGTTTTAACTGACCTAAGGTAGGAGGGTCCAAAATACTGATCCAGTGAAAAAGAAAAAAATCTCAATATTTGTCTATCTGGATGATCATTAATAAGAAACTTTCAGGTTATTTCACATAAAATATGACCTGCAGATGTTGGTCACCATTTTCAAATCTAACAAGGTACACACTGTTCCAATAGGATGGCATGGCGGATCAATAGTTAGCAGTGCTGCCCCACAGAGCCAGAGACCTGGGTTTGATTCCAGCCTTGGGTAAATGTCTGTGAGACTTTTTCATGGTCTTCCTGTGTCTGTCTGGGTTTCTGCCAGGTGCTCTGGTCTCCTTCCACAGTCCAAAGATGTGCAGGTTAGGTGGATTGGCCATGCTAAATTGCCCATTTAGTCCAAGGATGTGCATGCAAGGTGGATTAGCCATAGTAAACACAGGGTTGCAGGGATAAGGGGGTCTGCATAGGATGCTCCTCAGAGGGTCAATACAGACTCGAAAGGCTGAACTGTAGGGTTCCTATGAACTGTGAGTCATGGTGAAGGATGTGAATGTTGAAAGTGGTGGAAAGATGTCAATCAGACAGGGTGCTTTGTCCTGGATGGTGTTGAGTTTCTTGTGTATTTTTGGAGGGCACTTATTCAGGCAAGTGGAGGGCATTTCTGACTTGGGCCTTGTAAATGCCTGTAAGTACCACGAAGACAGGAAGTGAGTTACTTGCTGCAGAATTCCTAGCTTTTTAACTGTTATTGTAGCCACAATATTTATATGGCTGTTCCAATTCAGTTTACAGTGAATGGTAACCACCAGAATGTTGATTGTGGGGCAATTCAAATATGGCAATGCCATTGAACATCAAGGAGCGATGCTAGATTCTCTCTTGTTTGAGGTTGTAATTGGCTGGCATGTTTGGCATCAATGTAAATAACTTGTTGCTTACTGATCAGCACAAGCTGGATGTTGTCCATATGCACACTGACAGCTTCAGTTTCTGAGAAGTCAAAAATGGTGCTGAACATTGTACAATTAATTGCAACCAGCCTCGCTTTTGACCCTTGTAATGGTGAGAAAATCATTGGTGAAGACAGCTGAAGATTAGGTCTAAGGTCTACTCTGAAGAATTTAAAGGAATCTTGTTGCACAGTGTAATGTCCCTATCTCTAAGCCAGGACAGCCATGTTCTAGTCCCACCTGCTCCAATGGTGTGTTAACATCTCCAAACGGGCTGATTGAAAATATCTACCTTGATAAACCTCTACAGTGATGTCTTGGTATAAAGATGATTGGTCTCCAAAAACCACCAACTTACTTCGTGCTAGTTATGACTCCAACCAATGGAGAGATTTCACGCCTGATTCCCATTGACTCCAGTTTTACTAGAGCTCCTTGATGCTGCACTCAATAATTCTGGATGTCAAGTACAGTTACTCACATCTCACCTCTGGAGTTCAGCTCTTTTGTTCACGATGGACTAAATTCATAATGAAGTCAGGTTGAAGCGGTCCTGATGGAGCCTAACTGAACATCACTGTGCAGATTATTGCTCAACAAATGCCACTTGATAGTATTGTCAATGACATCCTCCATCACTTTGCTGATAACAGAGAGTAGATTGGTATGGCAATATCTGACTAAGTTTGTTTCGTCATACTATTCATGGACTGGACAGTCCTGAGCAATTTTCTACGTTGCTGGGAATGTGTTGATGTTGCAGCTGTACTGTAACAGCTTGACCAGAGGTGACGTTAGTTTTGAAACACAAGTCTTCAGTACTACTGCCAGAATGTTGTTAACGCTGCAGCCCAATGGTATCAATGTGGACTTCACAAGCTTCAAAATCTCCCCTCCCCCTACCGCATCCCAAAAACAGCCCAGCTCGTCCCCACCTCTCTAACCTGTCCTACCTCCCACCTATCCCCACCTATCCCCTCCTCCCACCTCAAGCACCACCCCCATCTCCTACCTACTAACCTCATCCCGCCCCCTTGACCTGTCCGTCCTCCCTGGACTGACCTATCTCCTCCCTAACTCCCCACCTACACTCACCTTTACTGGCTCCATCCCCATCTCTTTGACCTGTCTGTCTCCTCTCCATCTATCTTCTCCTCTATCCATCTTCTATCCGCCTCCCCCTCTCTCCCTATTTATTTCAGAACTCCCTTCCCTTCCCCCATTTCTGAAGAAGGGTCTAGGCCCGAAACGTCAGCCTTCCTGCTCCTCTGATGCTGCTTGGCCTGCTGTGTTCATCCAGCTCTACACCTTGTTATCTCATATGCCTAAACATGATTTTTCACACCAGGAAAGTGTGCTCATTTTATATTACAAGTTGGCTTATATACGGTGTTCTATGGTATATGTACATGAGCTCAAAGTGTAAATGATTATAAACAATAGAAAGTTTTACTTTAAATATTTGAAATGAAGCAAGAAATAGCTCCCATGATGATGAGAGTACAGAACAAGACAAGATTATTCAGGATCACAAAAATCAGTGTGTTATCCAAATTCTCTTTCAAGACCTCACTGCTGCCATTTTGTTGCATTGATTGCTATTGCAAGTTGAAGCAACATAAACCTCTGTTTTTGTTCCTGATTTACAGCATCTGCAGTTCTTTCGGTTTTTACAATTTATGCATTTTGTGTCAGAAATATATTTCACATTCTTTCATTTGTGAATACCAGGTTGAAAATAAATTTAAGTACACAATCAGATGATTTATCCATTTTTACGTCAAAAATGTGGGCAAAGCATAGTTCTACTTTTCATGGATTGAATGCAAACATCAAATTTCTTTTGGGTTGTTGAGCTGCCTTAAAAGATTGAAATACGTGAAGCAAGCACTAATTCAAGGCTTGTAAATGGATTTAACATCTTCTTGCTGTTTTATTATCAACACAGGTGCTCCTTTGCTGCAAATCAAATCAATGAATAAACCAAGAGGCAGGTACACGTTATGATATCAAATGCAATGTAAGTCACAATGAAAACACAAGAGCATAATTTTTACTTGGGTACAGGCAGAAAGCTGGCCAGGATGTACAAAGAGCACTTGATCTGCAACTACCAATTTGCTGTCCCACTGGAAAAATGAATTTTCAATTTTTCCTGTAGAGGGAAGTGCTAGTTATAGCATGGCACAGAAAAAACAAATCCTCTACTAAAGTTTTTGAATTAACTATTAAATTAATACTTTAAACAATACAGCATAATTATATCTCAGTAGATAGAGACAAGTCAGTACTTCAAAGAGGAAA